TCCTTGGGGAAGTCATTTAGGCCCACAGTGTCTCAGTATCCGTGTATGTAAGTTGGGAATACACTGGGTTTAAATGAGTTAATGTATATGAAGTACTAGAACAGTGCCTGTTTTATTATTGATATTATTATTCCTTACATTCCTGTAAAACAAAAACTGGCTGGGAGAAGTTTGTTTTATTGAGTTTTGTTCTGCTGGTTTAACTAAGTATATTCATCTAGCTGTGATCATTATGGCACCTAGAATACTGTCATGCAAACTGGAAACTATTTCCCACTTGTCTCATGCTCCTGAAAGAGCAGTTTCTTTGTTTCTGGTGGCTGGTTGCCACCTCCTTCCCATATCAAAGAGATAAGCCCCTTCTGTTTTGAGGACACCACTGTCTTTTATCTTAGATTATTTCCACAATATTTCTGTATTGTTTTGGCCTGTGTTTCCACATGAGGTATCTGAGGCTTGCAGGGTCCAGATCAGGAGTGTGCAGGCTGTTTTCCAGGGCTATTTTCTAGGTTGTCTTCTGACCTTATTGTGTTTCGATACTTTACTTCCGTGGCCATTCTAAGCTGCCTTCACAAAGATGATAGAAGAAAAATTTTAAATTCTGAGCAGTTTTAGTTCCTGTGAACCCGCTCACTTATTCAAAGCATTCATTCACTGGTCCATTTATGCACCAAAGACTCTGTAAACTGCCAGGCTAGTGCCGGTGAGACCAAGATACTATTCTTATCTTCCATGGATTCTGAAAGCTTGTAAATCGAGGACTCATTCATTCACCAGTGTGGACCGAATAAGCTTCCACCTCTTAGTGCTACAGCAGTGACCAAATATTGAAATACCGACAAACTTGTTATCAGATTGAACTGAAAGGATTTGTTATAGATTATTCTGGAAATGACTAGGAGGCCCCAGGGATGAGCTCATCTGCTATAGCTAAGAGAAAAGACTACTGTCCACAGGGAATTATTCCAGTGGGAACCCATGGATGTCGCTGTCCCTTGCACAATACAACAACCTTGGCCTTGGCCACTCCCCAGGGACACACGCTCATGCTCATCTCCTCACTTCCTGTGGACACCTTTGCTTGGAAGAATTCCAGCCAAGAGAGTGCCTTGGAAATGTGGCTCTGGGGTTTACAGTTTCTGCACTTGGGGAAGGTTCACTGTCTACACGCAGGGTAAGGTAAGCAGGGCAGGCTGCTTTACAAGGAGTGGTCATGACAGATGTGACCGAAATCACACTTAGCTGTCAAGAGTCATCACATTGGTATTTTGCCTTTCAAGTTGAAGATTCAGGTCTTTACCTTCAGAAGACCTGGCCTCCACCTCCTCCAGCATCTCCCTCTGGACACTGGGACTCTACTAAGGTGGAATTGCTCTTTCTTCCCGTATCATTTCATCCTGCTCTGCCTCATTCATTCTGCTTTCTCTGGGTTCCTTTCCTACCATTCTTTGCTTGGCTGGATGTTTCAGCTGAGAAGTCTTCTCCAGAAAGCCTTCTTTCTCTAGGTCACATTTGAGTCTCTTTTTTTTTTATGTTCACATAAGCAGATTTTGTGCCACATATTGATACATTTCCTCTGTTATGTTAGAACAATCTGTTCATGTCTCTCTTCCTCATTCCATGAGCTGCAAAAGGTCAGGGATGCCTTCTTCATCTCTGTACCCCCAGAGCCTGGCATAGAGTAAATTCACCAATATGCCTTTTGAAATGACACAAGTTGAATTTTGAAAAAGTAGGAATTACTTGTTCAATAAATTGGGAGGAAGATAGACATTTCAGGCTGAGAAAATAGCACATTCAAAAATACAGGGTCATGAAAGAGCAAAATGGGTTTAGAAACATGTGCACAATTCATTGAGGTTAAAAAAAAAAAAGCCCACTGGGGAGGGGCCAAAATGGCATCAGAAAATTAACAGGGTTGGGATTAGGATGGGTCTTGGGTGCTAAGCAAAAGTGTTCAAGCTTATTTGAAAGCTTCAGGAAGCCAAATTGAAGGATTTTAAACATATAATGGACTTACATGATCAGATTTGTGTTTTTAAACAGATTTGTTTAACAGCGGAATAAATGGAGGATTAGAAGGGCTCAGAGTAGAACCAGAGAGACCACAAAGAAGTCATTCCAAGTAATAAGGGAGACAGACCTGAAGGCAATGGAAATAGCATGAATAAGGGACAGGCTCGTGGGCTGCTTAAGGCTACAGATCAGTAGGATTGGTTGGGCTACCTATGCAGCTCAGTGGTAGAGCGCTTGCCTTCCATGCACGAGGCCCTGAGTTCAACCCCCAGCACCTCACCACACCTCGTCTACACACAAAAATATATTATATACATATATGTACATAAAAATATAGATAGATATTTCTATCCATCTATCTATGGGTGCATGGGTGCATGTGACGGGGTGGGGAGGAATTGGGGGAATTTGGGAACTGATTTGCTGTGGGAACAGAAAAATTGAGACTGGTTTAGTAGAAGGCCACTCAGCCACCTCTCAGAAACTCTTCTCATGCTCAACCCTGAATTCCCACATACGGGTAATGAATGACAAAATGTATCATATCTCTTCCTATCTACAGCAAGGGGAAAAAAAATCTAGATGTTAGTGTGGAAGGGGTTTTGGAGGGACCCAGGCTAACCCCTAATTTGGTGTATGACTGAGAGAAGGAGTGAATTCTCCACTCTTCCCCTGAAAATCAGTAGCCAGCATCCAGTCCTGTCTCCATTGCATCTTCTATTTAATTCTCCACTTAGCACTCGTCTCTAACATTGTCTTGTGTGTTTGCTTATTTTCTATCTCTCCCTGACATTAGGCTGTCATATTTAAGGGCAGAGTTCTTGACTATATCAAACAGTGTTCTGTCTATAGAGTGGATGCTTAATGAAAATTGGTTGAAAAAGGAATGAGTCAGGTACAATCAGGTCTGCCCATCACTAAACCTGTTATCTCTGCACAGGACCTTGGTTTGGAGGTTATCAAATTCATAATTCCATTTCCTACTAAGACTTTGCTCAGTCAGTTCCACAGAGATTAAAATCTATTAAGCAATAACATTGTACTTCACATGGCTTCAGATACAAAGAACTAAACATAAGCATTATTATATGACTTCAAGAATATTAGTCATTGACCTACACACACCTGTTTGGAGGGATGATATAAAAAATAAGTGTTGGTGAGGACATAGATAAGTTTTGGAATCATTTTACACTGTTGGGAATGTAAAATGGCACAGTTGCCATGGAAAACAGTATGGAGGTTTCTCAAAAAAAAATTAAAAATAGAATTGCCATGTGATTCCACTTCTGGGAACCTACCCAAAAGAACTGAAAACAGGATCTCAAAGGAATAATCTCTATACCTAGATTATAGGAGCATCACTCACAATTGCTAAAGCAAATATTTGTTTTTATGGCTCTTGTTCAACCCAAGTTGCCCATTGATGGATGAGCATAAACAGAATGTTTATATATGTATGTATGTACACATACAATCATTCAACCTAAGAAGCAAGAAAATTCTAATTCATGCAGCAACATGGCTAACCCTTGAAACTATTGTGCTAAGTGAAATAAGCCAATCACAAAACATCAAATGCTGGATGATTCCATTTATAGGAGATAACTACAATATTTAAATCCAGAGGGAGAGAATGTAGAGTGGGAGGGTGGAATGCAGAGTTCTTGTTTAGTAGGTATAGACTTTTAGTTTTGAAAGATTAAAAGAGTTCTGGAGATTGGCTGCACAACTGTGAATCTACTAAACACTGCTGAACTATATACTTCAAAATGGTTAAGATGGCATATTATATGTCATGTGTGTTTTGCCACAATTTAAAAAACATTTACCACTGAGGTATGCATATCTGTTACCTTATTTATCCTTACAAGAACCCTGAACTGATACTACAAATAGAAGTCCTATTTTATAGTGAGGACAATAAGGCTCAGAGAAGTGAAATGATTTGCCCAAGGCACACAGCAGAAAAGGGTTAGGCTGAGCTTCACTGAAGCCTCCTGACTTCATGCCCAGTGAAGGCTCCTGCCATGTCCAGGGACAGGAAGTACAACTGGATTAACTTGTCTGCTGGCTTAAGTGTAAGAAATCAACTCCTGGCAATTTGTGGAGAGAGCTGTAAAAGTGTCCATGGGATGTGGGTGTGGCAGGGGAGAAAAGAGAGAGAAGTCCAGCATACAAATGCAAGCCAGTTCCCAGAGACCTGCTTTAGGCCTCTTGTTCAATTCCCTCCCTCCCTAAATCTTCAGAGGGCAGGTGTGAGTCAACTATAAACAGTGAGAAAAGGTCACCCAACATTTCCTCAACTGGCAAGCTAGGAAGTCCCTGCCATGGAGACCGTCTGTGTACATGACATTAGAAACCTGCAATGTGACCTGGAGAGAGTAGTGGCTCTTGCTTTGTGAAAAGGCTCCATTAGATGCCCTCCTTCCTGCTACAAAGGCAAAAGATGATGAGATTCACTTACACAAATAAATGAGGTTCAGTGGGAGAAAGTGGGGGGCCGTAGGAAGAGCATGAAGCAGGAGTCAAGCCTCTACCCCCAGGCTCTGGTTGACATCACCACAACCTACTTTCAGACATGAGTCTGAGCCCAGTTTAGAGGAAAGAGTAGATCTCCCATGGGGAGCTGAAACTACCAAAGGATCATTGAGCTTTTATTTATCATGGACCTACTATGTGTCTGGCAGTGATGGACACTATCTAGGGGAGCCCTGATCTTTTATTAGTATCTGCAAATATCCTTTATGTGCTATGAAAAAAATAAACATAGCTGAAGTGGTTCAAAGAGGAGACAATCATTTCTTTCCATCTCCCATAGCCAGTAGCATTACTGACTGAGATCGCCAACAAGTAAGCGATTGGATTACATCTGCCATTAAAACTCTTGAACATGTATAGTGAGGTCAGCTAATCACACTGGCTTTCTTTCTCCTGAAATAATGAAGTTTTTTGTTTGTTTTTTTTTTCTTTTTTTTTTTTAAATGCTTTAGGAAGGAGTGAAAAACTTCAAGGAACTTCGAGCCAAATTTCAAAAGTTTGATGCTCCAACTCTTCCAGGACCTATTAAATTCCCAGCAGGTGACTCTCAAAAAGATGAGGTGGTATGCACACGGCCAATTCCGATCCTGGCCAAGGGGAAACCCCTCTCTTCCAACCATAATCAGCCCCTACCATATTCTTGCAATGGTGAGTCCCTACCTCAGAAAACCAAGGTGACCCAGAGGAGTGAAATTCGGAAGAGTTCAAGTTCCCCAGGACCTCTAGCAAAGTCTACTGTGTGTTCCACAGGAAACTTCCAGAAGGCCTCTGTGCTGTTGGATGTGACTGGATCAAAGGCCGAGGTAACCCCCAAGGAGAGAGTGGTGGCCTCCAGCAGCTTCAGAGACAAGCTCAGGAACTGGGAGAAGGTTTCCTCTCAGAGAAACGAGACCTCGTCTGCCCTTCCCCTCTCTGATTGTGGAGGGAAGGCCTTCCATTTGGAAGGGCAAAAAAGCATGGGGCTTGCCCCAGAGAAGCCCAGGAAAAAGCTGGAAACCAAAGGAGCCCAGACCCTTCCTTCTCAGAGGCACTTGACGGCCCAAAGAAAATCACTCACCATCTCTGAAGACCCCTCTTCTCTACTTTCTCCACGCAGCAGGAAGAGCCAGGAAATCTCCAGTCCTGAGAGGGGCCTGGCAGGCAGTACCTGCCAGGCTATTTACGAGTGTGAGCTTGACAGCCAGACCCCAGGTAAGAAGTAGACCAGGGAAGGGCCATTATGTTTTTCTAACTAAAGCCTGTTGATTTGGAGTGGTCAAATGTGGGTCTGGGCAATGTAGCCTGAGGATTGTAGGCCTATCTGTTAGAGTCTCAAATTTGGGTCAAGTGCTCAGTCTCCTGGAATTCATTGCAATGCAGTTTGGGCATCCTGGATATGATTCCTAGACCTGGTTCTTACACAACTGCAGGAACTCAGGCAATCTACAAATTTCTTAGAGCCTGGTCTGCTCTCCTACAAATCAGAGCTGTCACCAGACTTTGTTGGTAAATATCACAACCATCTCAGGCTAGAAACCCAGGAGTGAAGCTCTATTCTTTCTTCTCTCTCATTCTTTACATTGAATCTATCAGTCATTGCTTGSTTCTACCACAGAGGTGAGTTCAGAACCCCCGGACTTCCATATATCTCTGCCACCTGCTCTTGCCACACCATCATCTATTACCTTGACCACTGCAGTTGCTTCACGGGTCTCCCTGCTTCTACATTCTTAAGTTTTGTTCCCTTCCTAGTAGGCAGAGTCGCCCTGCAAACATAGATCAGATCACATCATTCTTCCGCCCAAAGTCAACTCTAATCATTAACAGGGATTCATGCAATTTAGTCTTTGCCTGCTTCTCTTGCCCTCTCCTCTTGTGCCACGTTACCTTGATAATCCTTATCCCATGCTGATTCCATCCCACGTCTTTGCCCTTGTCAGTCCCTCCTCCTGGACTTTGATRTCTTGCTCCCTCCCATCATCAAAGTCTCTATTCTGAGTGGTCCTTTTTCGTCACTCTGTCTAAAAGAGCTACACTAGTTCCATTACCCTTTGTTGTTTTATATTACTTTGATGTTCTTCATATCATTTATTTTTACCTGGTATATTGTTATATGCTTCTCTTGATAAGATGTAAATTACAAGACGGTAAAGACTGTCTTACCACCATATCCCCAAAAGAGTATGGCCAGATGAGCAAGTTTTCAAAAAGTATTGATTCAATGAGTGATTATATGGATGGATCAATCAATGGAGGAATCTCCTGCTTACAACCCCATATGGTTTCTCTGACACAGTCCTCATGGCCCTGTTCTCAGGTCCTTGCTCTGTATCTGACTTTTCTCCTACCTTTCTTCCCCTGGCATACTACCCCATAGTCAACATGCTGGAGAGATCTCTGGAGTTCTCTAGTTTGTCATTAGTTTCTTCTTMGTAGAATGAACATTCCTACCTACAGGACCACATTTGTTCTTGTTTTCAGTTCTATCCCCAGCCGCCAGAACAATGCCTGAAATATAGTAAATAAACAGTTATTGATGAAGGGGTGGGGAAAAGAGGAAGGATAAATAGAAATAAAGATGGATAGGAGAGAACAAAGAAAAACAGAGCCTACTGGATAGAACTATTGAGAATTAAATGAGATAACTATCTCAATTGCTTAGCACCATGACTGATAAAAATTCCATCAGTTAGAAAGTGATAGTTTACTTTTACTTAAGTCTTCTCTCCAATTGGATAAAGAGTCAAATTTCTGACACTGAGACTTACAATTAAAGACTAAGAAGAATCGAGACCAGGAATTTGGCCCTGAGTTTCTGGGAATATGACTGCAGTAGGGCAGGATAAAAGTTTTCTGTCCCCTCCTAGCTCACCGAGCTCAGGGAGGTCTCACAGGCACAGGCAAAACTGAGTGCACTTCTTTAGTGTKCGTGGGATGTCCTACGTAGTCAACTACCGTGTTATGTAAACCAAAACTCAGGCGCTTGGGTTATATAAGAATTTGTGTTATTCTCACAAGAAGCAGATATAATTTTCATATAAAATAATAGAATTTCTGTTGGAATTGGACTTATGAGTACCTAAGGACAAATATTTAAAATTGAGAAAATTCCAGGACATAAAACTCAAAGATGCCAAGTTCTACAAAGTCAGCTTTGAAGCAAGTCCTAGGCTATCAGCTCTGGTGATGAGAGATCAATTCTTACTCCTCTTTATAGTCCCTGCCATATTATTTTCACACCATGTGTTTGGGGAATCCATTCAGTGAGTAGCTATGGTTTGTCCTTGCTTGGTGTGAGGAGACCAATATGACACAATCCCTGCCCTCAGGAGGCCATGKTTAATGAGAAGCTAGACTAGCCTCTCTGGTAAGCCATGACCCTGAGGTAAGGGCATTCATAATGAGCTATAGGGTTACAAAACAGAGAGTGGTTGATTTTTGACTTGATTTCTAGAAAAAAAAATCAAGAAAAGCCTTCTCGGGGAGCTGTCATTTGGCAACAGAACTGTAGAAGAATGAGTCAAAGTTTGCAAGAGAGGGAATAGCACCCCAGAACAGGAGTGGCATGAACAAAGTCTTGGAGACAGGAGAACCTTTTAAAATCAAACCTGGAGAACGGGGAAGCCAGTTATGAGAGTGAGAGATGCTGGGGCTGAAGGCTGGGGAAGTAGGAGAACATGGGTGGTTCTKTCAGCATTGTTGCTGCTGTAACTTAATGATCTGAACAGAACAGCTATAAAGGAGGAAACGTTTATTTGAGGGATCATGRTTTCAGAGGTCCATTCCTTGGGGCTCAAGGTGAGGCAGAACATCATGGCAGAAGAGTGTGGCAGAGCAAAGCAGCTCATATGGTGATCAGAAAGCAGATAAAATGGTCCCTACTTGTCAGATACAAATATATTCCCCATAGCCACATTCCCAATTCCCACCTCCTCCAGCCACACCTTACCAGCTTTTAGTTACCACTCAGTTAATCCCTATCAGGTACTAACTCACTGGATTAAGGCTATAACCCATTCATTTCTCCTCCAAACCTTCTTGCATTGTCTCACTTGTGAGCTTTTTGGGGACACCTCACATCTAAACCATAACACCAGGTGATGAGGAAAGAACCTGGAGACATAGTAGGGGCCATTTGGTAGTGAAATGGAAGAAAATGGGGTGAACAGGTGATGAGGAGGAAGTCTTGAGGGCAGTGGGATGGGTGACCTGGGCTGGTTTGAGTTTGGATTGGGACACTCTGGCTGCTGCATGGAGAATAGATTGAAGGCAAGCGAGACTGAGTTTCACCTGACAAGCCAAGGAATTTCAATAATAACCTATGTGTTTTCCTGTCTCAGAAAAGCAGCTGGATATCAGGCAAAACCAGTTTCCCAAAACGAAACCACTGCCTTCCATTGAGTCCCTGGGTCCTCCTCCCGCCAAGCCACCAAAGCCCCYGAGTGTGAACCTCCAGGCTTTCCAGAGGCAGCCAGCTTCTATTGCTAAGACCCAAAATGAAGGTAAGGAACAGCACGGGGCCTCACACAAAGCCAGCTGGAAGTCACGGCTCTGGTGCCTGTATCCGCAGTGTCACCTCCCTCTCCAATGCCCACTACTTCTCCTCCACGTGGCTCCACATCTCTGCTTATTCTCCTGTACAGGCTGTGGCAGTTTGCCCATGAAGTGACAGATCTGCAGGAATTGGCCCCTTATCTCTCCTGGGCCAGCTCGCTCCCCCTGAGGGCTTTGCATTTGATCMCTGGGAATCTGTCCAAGAGGAAAAAAAAAAAATGAAAAGTCACCGAGCAGGGAGGCAGTGAGGCTCTGCATTCCTTGCAAAACCTGAGTTGCCRACACAATCGGTGCAGAAAAAGAAAAGGAAGTGAAGAGAACGAGAGCAATTGTGAACTTGACCTGAGGTTCTTAAGAGGTCCCCCTTGGGCTCCTGWGATCTGCCTGCACTAATTAATTAAAGCCTCTCCCACCCCGTCCAGGAAGTGAACCATCCTTAGAAGTCATTTTTCTGTGCCATTTTGTGTCTTGCTCTGCTACTTAAAGGAATGTCCCTCRTGCCTCAGCACAGACTGATCTGTAGACATTCGAAATGCCTTTGCTTATATTCACTCTAATGAAACATAAGGGGAACATACACTTTGGGGCAATATGYAGTGCTGTGCTAACATTTGTTTTACTGTGGCCATCAGCACCAACAGATGGTACTTTGAGAGAGCTAATGCAGTCTTTGCTCATTTGTCTGCTTTGGGCAGCCTCATGGTTGAATTTCTTTAATTTGGTGGTTCTCAAACKTAAGTATGCATCAGAATCACYTAGAGGACCTGTTAAAACTCAGGTTGCAGGACCTCATTTCCCTGAGTTTGATTCAGTTGGTCTGGGATGGAGCCTGAGAATTTGCCTTTTGACCAATTAATAGGAAAGCTGATGTTTCTGGCTTAGGGATCACACTTAAATCATCTTAAGTCTTATCCTAAAAGAAAATGCTATATAGAAAGATAGAGGTCTTATAAGTACCCTTTAGTAATATGGCCACTTCCACATCAAGGAAGGCTAAGTGTGATTCAGGTCTCAAACCATCTCTCTGAAAGGCAAGATGATTGTCAACACAGAACAAAGCATTAAGTCCTTTGTAATAAAAAGGGGCCTTGTAAATCCCATCTCCTTAACCCTCTAGTACTCACCAAGTCTCATTTTTACTTATCTGTAAAACCCATTTTGCGGGGGTGGGGGGGTAATTGGGTAATAATTACAACTCCAATCTCAGAATTATTGCAAGAACAATAAGGTGATGCCTAGAAAGAACTGAAATAGTGCTCAGCACCCCAGTTAGTAAAGCTTCTGTGTTATTTTGACCACTCATTGAGCAGCTAGTATCAGGCCCTATGATGGAAGCAAGAGATGGAGATAAATCCCACAGAGCTTCCAGTCCTCAAATAGGTCAAAGTCTAATGCAAGAGGCTGTACCATAAATAAACACCATAAAGCAAGAGTGAGTGTGACATGTAGGGATGGGTAACCCCCACCCCACCCCCATACCATGGTGGGAGTGGGGTGTTTGGGAACACAGGTGAATTAACATATACCTAGTCTCTGGGATCCAGCCATGCCATGAGCATCGTTCACTTTAACCAGGCTGCTGCCAACACCTTTTTTTTTTTTTAACTTTGCCTGTTTTTCTTGCAGTGACCATAAAAGAGGACTGCCCACCTCCAGAGAGGTGAGTACCTGCTCCTTAATTGTGTAGGAGTGCACACCATCAACCAGGCTACTTTGCTTGCCTAACAGCAGGCAGGGAGCTCAAGTCAAGTGTCTGTTGTCCTCAGAAGAGTTGCAGGAAGAGCAGATTTATAAGCAACAATCTGCAACTTTTGTTTTAAAAGAAAGATTAAATAAACTGCATTTAACTACTATGCTGACATCAAGTTGCAGAGATGGTCCTCTGAAGTACTTTTTTTATTGTACAGATGGGTTCAGTAAATTGAAACATGAGCTTTGATAGACATAAATTCATTTAGAGGTTATAGAATGCTCTGGGCAGCTGTGATGTTAGGAATCGGTAATGGTGTACAGAGTGTGCTATTTCTGGTATGCTGCTTCGAAGAATTTTGCTGTAGAAGTGTCAGTTCATTAATTCACCCAACCAAATCATGAGCCCTTTGAAGTGACACCCATTGAGCTGGCTACTTTTTACAGACTTTGTCATTTAGTTGTCTCTGGAGCCTTGGCAAAGTTGCTGCTGCTGTCCTGGTTTTATAGCTCAAGACACGAGGGTCCAGGAAATTTGCCACTTGCTGAGACATGATTCTAGCCCAGATATGCCCAGATTATTTTAACTATAAGCCTTGCCTCTCTCACAAGGATGTTCTTGTGTGCAAGGTTAGTCTTTGAAGGAGAAACCAGCTCAAAAATGATCATATTACTGATTCATTCATCAAATGTTTATAATAAAGTATATTACATTTGTTATAGAGTTGATTATAAGATTAAGAGTTTGCACCTGTTAGGGAATGGTCACTACTTGAGAGTGTCAGGAAGGGTCAGAGAAGTGTAAAGATGTATCAACTATCTACTGCTCCATTAATACGATTTAATAAATGCAAACCTTCAATAGCATACAATGTGAATCTGTGAGGTGCAGTTGATCTGGACTTGCTGGTATGTTTCAGTCATCTGTGGACTATCAGGCAGCTTTACTGATTCTGTCTAGGGTTGCTCACATGTCTAGGGAGTCAGCATGAAGCTAGCTGATCTAGGATTGTATTGGGGTAGGGATGACTGGGCACCTTGACTTGGCACCAACCATCTCAGCAAATCAGCCCCAGGAATGCACTCCTGGAAGTGGCAACAGTCAACCAAGACAATCCCAATAGACTATGTTCTACTATGTTCTATTTTAAATCCTTTGCAGTGTCACCTTTGTTAACATTCTATTGCTCAAAGCAACTCAGATGGCCAAGTCCAAGGTCAGAGTGGAAAGGCACTAAAGGTTTACATGGCAAATGACAGGGATCTAGATAGCATGAAGAACAGGGGCATGAATCCAGTCAAGCCATCAATAAAGAGGAAACACCTGACATGAGTATTGAGGATGAATGATGACTTGGGAACGGGTGCTCCATAGGCAGAGGCAGGTGGTATGAAGTCAMCTGTCTTATGTCTACTTAATTCTAGAAAGAGTTAAGTAGAGTTAGAGCAGAGAAAGTATAGAAAGGGAATTGAAGTGTCAGGAGAATCCTGTACACCAAGTGATTGATAAGATCCTCTTATTCAACAAGGATCCATCTGTGTAGTGCTAGACTCAGTTCTTGTGCTCTTAATGGAGTTGCCTATTTGAAAGAGTTAAGTGTCCTAAGCACAAGGCAAACCATGGAGCTGCATGTATGTGAAAGGGACAAAATAGTGCTGATGGCTCAGGCAGTGGAGTGCACTGTTCACTCAGCACAAACCCTGCTGCGACTGCTAAAGAGACAGTGTACCTCTGCTAGGCTGGGTGGGCCTTGGTTGTCTCGTGGCTGTGATGCTGTGACCATCTCGGTATGAGCATGTGTGTGCTGCGATTGTGTTGTTTATGCATTTTCCCCACATTTTGGCACTGAGGTATGGTGACAATGGCACTGTAACCTCAGAAACAGCAAACCACACCAACATGAGTGACAAACTTGCTGTAACGTGCCTGTTGGGAGAGAAAACTCAGTCTCCAACATGGTGCTACCTTTCCTAAGGATTTATAAGGGTAGTTTTGACCATTCTGTCCTTTTATGTTGACTTTATAATACAACTCACATCTGAAATGAGATTTCATCATATATTAATTATGATATGAGCCATAGTAATAATTAGAAACAAGATAAAGAGGGAACAGAGTTCTTAGGGGTGGCTTCATGGAAGAGGAAGTAATTCAAGCTGTAATCCTGTATGATGAGTAGGAATTAGGTAGGTTTACTTATTTGTTCCTTTTCAATATACTGCAAGTGGAATCCAGGCAGGCTATTGTTCCTGAAAATAACCACATTCTTGATTCATGGGTGAGTGGATGGATGGATGGATTGAGGGATGGACAGATTGACCAATGGACAGTCAGGATGGAGTTAGAACATGATTGAAAGTAGGGGTGTAGTAATAAATAAGAGAAAATAAATAGAAAGCATTCTAATATGAAAAAATAAGAGATAACTTTTTTGTGTATATGTGGTGCTAGGGACTGAACCCAGAACCTTGTTCATGGAAGGCAGGGACCCTACCAACTGAGCTATATCTCCAGCTTTAAAAGATACCTTTTACTTTGAACTACTTTATAATATCTGTTGTTTGCAAGTCTGTATTCTTTGTAAAATCAACACATAAGAAGACATGGTTTTGTKGACTGGATTCAAATTTAATGTGATGCTTTGAAATGAACTCACTACTTTTAGAAACATAAAAAAAAAGAGAGAGAGCGAGAGATAATGTTGAATCCTGTAGTTGGCCCTCCCTATCTGTGGATTCTGAGTCCATGGATTCAACCAACCTCAGACAGAAAATGTGTGAAAAAAGTTGTGTCTGTACTAAACATACAAAGATTTATTTTCTTGTCATTTTCTATAAAACAATATAGTATAGCAACTCTTCATATAACATTTATATTATATTAGATATTATAAGTAATCTACAGATGATTTAAAAGATCTGGCCAGGAACCATAATCCCAGTAGCTCAGGAGGTTGAGGCAGGAGGATAGAGAGTTAAAACTGGCCTCAGCAACTTAGCGAAGCCCTAAGCAACTCAGCAAGACCCTGTCTCTAAATAAAATATTTTAAAAAGGGCTAGGAATGTGCCTCAGTAGTTGAGAGCCCCTGGGGGTTCAATCCTCAGTACCAAAAAAAAAAAAAAAACAACAACAACAACAACAAAAAAAACCCTGGAGATCTGTATACGTTATATGCAAATTCTAAACCATTTTATATGAGAAACTCAGGCATCTGCAGATTTTCTATCCATGAGAGGTCCTGGAAGCAATTCCCCAGATGCTGAGGAACAACTATATGTTAAACGCTAAGCTGAGGAGTTTGGACTTTGTCTTGTTGATGTTAATTTGAATACACAAGTGCCATGGTGCCCAATAGCCTTAGATACAATTTCCACGGAAACTAGTGCTTGTTTGGGAAGATCATCTCCCGTGTTCAGGAGATGCCCATATTAAATTTAGAAAATAGATTTTAAAATAGAATACATAATATCATTACTGTAAAGGGATCTGGCATTAATCTGATGTAGCTAGGGTACATAGTATAAAATTAATGAAAGCCTGGGTATCTAAGTACTACATTTAATACCTGTAACCTTGAGCATGCTCTAACCTCTGCAGACCTCAGTTTCTACTTCTATAAGAGAGCAATGTTTACAGGACCTAATTTGCATCATTGTGGTGAGGGTTTAATGAAATAATAACTGTAAAGAATTTATTGCAGTGTCTGGTGTCTGGAGAGTGTCTTGCTTGGCTATTATATAACTTCCTACCAAGGATAACAATCCAGGCTTAGAACCCTAGTCTCCAAACATCCACTGATGGAGAACATTGTACCTGGAAAGTTCAGCATTTTTTCTTTCTTGGGGAATATTTTATTCATTCAGCACATAGTTATTGAATATATCCTRTATACCAAGTACCTTTGTATATAGCAGTAGACAAAGAAGACAAAATATTTTACATGTATCTGTACACATTTGTTTTGTTTGTTTATTTGYTTGTTGGTTGACTTACTTCAAAGTAAGCTAGAGAAAAAAAATATTGACCTCCATACCCCAAACTCCCCACCATCTCCAAGATCTATCTGTGGCACAGCAGACATTGCCTTACCTCTTCTTTCCATGAGAGTCCTTAAAGCATTTAAGTCCTGTAYTCTTCTCCAAGTTTACTCCTGTTGTTTGCAACCATTGTTCATAAAAGAGGAGTCTCTGTGCTCTAGCTGTATTTTTACAGAGACGCCTTTTAACCATCTGGTTAATAACTCAGTGCCTCTACAAGCACCATCTTTCCTTTCTGGGCTTCCTCCCCTTTTGTATTAMATCTGAGAAGCAGCATTGCATCATGGAACAAGTATAGATCTGAAGTCAGATATTAACAGAAGTTCAGACCCATCATCCGCACTGTAGATGACTCACTGCAACCGTTCAGAGCTTTGATCGACACATCTGTAAAATGGGCACGTGGTAATAGTATTTCCTTCATAGYGCTGTTATGAAGATCAGTAAGATAAATTGTTTAAAGCATGAAGTGAACAGAAGACTCAAAGAGTCTGGATTTTTTTCAACCCTTAGCTTCCCCTTTCCTTGTTGTCTGTGAAATATTAATATCTCATTAGCTCCCARCAGAAGTGGCTGTTTAGAAATTATTCTTTGTCATCACTCTCCTGTTAACCAAGCTGGCTGGCATCCCTCTTATGAATAAGCAGTCACGGTTTGTGTAAACAAAGCAGGTGGGTCCCAGGGCAGCAGTCAGTGCTGGGCCTCTGTCAGGACTTAGCAGAGTTGGCTAATATTTTATTCATTAGCTATAAATTGACTTCTCTCCCATTAAGTGGCAGAGGGTAGTCCTGACTCAGGAAATCTGACTCGGGAAAGGAGAAGCTGTTGATTTCTGGAGTAGGGAAGACGCAGATGYGCAGTATCTCAGACACGGTCTGCAAGTACATTCTAGAAAGTCTATCATTTTCTCACTTGAGCTTTTTAATCTTGTGTCTTACTTTTGAGGAATGTGTTATAAAACTAGTATCAGCCTATTTTGAGTTGTGTGGATGGCTCCTTCTTTTGGAGTATACTTCTGTATCTGTGTTTTTGTCAAGTCTACCCACACAGAGTGGAAACATAAAAGCTTGCGAGGGCTGGGTGGTTGTGTGACTATATCTAGGACTTCGTGACACAAAGGAAGCTACTGATGCTTTGGAAATRGGGTTCTGGTGCCTTATCTCAGGCATTCAAGTAAAATAATAATCACAGCAGTTAACAGTAGCACTGTGACCAAGTAAATGCATTTTCGGTGCTTTWTAAAATAGTGGTAAATGCTATAGAGAAAAAATTTTAGAGTATTATAATAACTGTGGGTTGGRAGTAACTAAAGGACATTTAGAATGATCAAGAAAGGCCTCTATGAGGTGGTGACATTTGGCTTGAGACCTGAATGATGGGAACCCAGTCCTGTCATAGGAAAATCTAGAACATTCCAGGAGAGGGAATAGCTGGTGCAAGGTCTCCAYATATATAAAGAACCATAAAGAATGGGATCACAGTAAAGCCCATAAGCTAGGTAATGGGTGGTGGTGGAGAATCTTATGAGTGATGGGGTGAAACTGGGGTTTGCTCCAAATGCATTGGGAAGCCATTGGGTAGTTGTAAGCCAAACAGTGACGTGAGCTGACATTTATTTTTTTAAAGAGCACTCTGGATACTGTATAAGTAATAAATTTAGAAAAGAAACTGGTGGAAACAGGAAGACAACCTAGGAAGTCATTGCAGTCACAGTAACAAAAACATTCTATTGTGTTTCGCATCTAGAATTCCATTTACAACATTCCTAAGAATTAGATGTTTCACAGATGAGGAAAGTGAACCAGAGAGCATTTAAGTAACTTGACACATATGGGGTGGCAGACAGGAGATAAAAGAAATTGATGGATTCAAAATCTATTTTGGAAGAAAACCAGCAACCACTCGTTCAGCCATGGGGTGGGAGATGTGAGGGAAAGMGAGGAATCTAGGCCAATGCTAGGTTACTTGCTGTTTCCCTCATTGCTGGCGGCAATCTGGGT